AAAAAATTTGCTGGGATTATCAACTGAGACAGCGCGAGCCCTTGGGATTATGTTCAGCATGTGTACCATAATTTCTGCACCATCAACAGGCACTACAACTGCTGTACACTTCTTCTTACAATATCGAGACTGCTTTTGGCAGAGAATATGTTGATGTACAGAAGCAACCCCTTCAATTAACAGAAAGATGTATTGTAATAAGAATAAGAAGGAGAATCGAAGAGTAAATTACAAAATAAGAATTAAGAAATCAGCAAAATTATTTTAATAAAACTAATATAATGGTAAGAAATGTTTCGGTCCATTAAATCGTATACATTTCTTACCATTACCACAATTAGATCTCACTACGACGACTGTGGTAATCGGACTTAGATTTTGGTAAGAGGCCCAGAAATGAGGCCCTGATTTACTGACAAATAGCACTTTTTTAGAGAACCACTTTCTCTCCAACTTTCCCAGTTAATATGCATTCGAAATTGAAATCCTCCTCCTTATTTCGCTTTCATGAACGGCGGAGACATTCCGGAAGTAGTTCGAGTGGCAGCAAATGTCAGCAGCAGCCACCCGCTGGCAAGGCTGTCGATGGCTCCCTCTTCTGAGAGTTTGCTTATAAGTAAACTAATGGCGGGTTTCGCTTCCTGGCATATGTCAGTACCAATTTACCATCGAAACGAATCGTACAGGGAATTGGTTGTGCCACCGGCAGAGTCGGCCTTCGACCTAATGCACGTTAACAGTGCTACTCCACTGCGCCGGCCGTTATGCATTGCTTCCTTAGAAGCTCGCGGATGGGTGCACATCGTTTTTCAGCAAAACCCGGCGCTTTCGTGCTCAGTTCAGCATGAAGCCGAGGGCCAAATTCTTCAGCCTCCGCCTAACGTACGTTGTGCTCTTTCTGACAAATTCCGGATGATGCTTGCAGCTGTCACATACAGAAAATAGAGCTTCCGGGAGGGTACGATGATTGTTCATTGGAAGAGAAACGATAACCTGTAGCTCAGTTTCGGGGTCGCTAACTTCATCGGTCACTTCGTTGAGCACTTCCGATGCCAGTTCAGAAAGCTGCCCTTGAATGTTGCGCAACCAGGAACTCATCGCATCCCCGCTGTATCTGTTTCCCTGCAAACAAAACCAACCTTAACCGGCACAGCCCGAAAAAGCCCTGAGCAGGGTGCTCCGATGCGGGAAATCAGCGCGCACGTGCGAGAGGTTGCGCCACGGGACACGCATATCTGCAGCAGCGCCGCGCTGGCTCACCACGCGTGCTCATGCACGCTCCTGGCATTTTATCGTTTTCCTAACGACAGTGCGCAAATGCTACGACACAGCATCGTGGATTTTACGGTTGTTCCGTCTTATGCAATTCCGGAGAGATTTTCATGGATTTTTTTTGAGCAAATTTCACGTCTCTTTAAATAAATTCTGCGACCCATCGGCTGAATTCTGTACCCTTCCGGCTGTGTTGGACCCTGTAAACCAACAAGTATTTAGTCAACCAAGTCAAGCTGGAACGCACCAAGCTTGCAGTGCGTTTATGCGTTTTTGCACCAAACTTGAAGTGGTCAAGTCGTTAATTGCATGAATAGTTGTTGCTTCACACCTACCTTGTGTGCTCACTACCGTAAATCATCGTAAATATTGCATAAAGGAAAATGAACAATTCCTGTTCAGCGGTCGTTCTTTGAAAATGACCTTGCTGTTCAATGAGTAATTTTCCCGCCAAAAATTTAAGTGCCCGTATATGAGAACCACGCATACTTGGAGGCTGAATTTAAAATCTTTAAGTTGTATTTGAACAGGGAATATTCTCCTAAAACTTCGGCTTTCCAGCTTTTCTGGTTCTCGGATTAGTAATTTCCCCGCCAAAAATTTCACGTGCTCCTACGTGAGTACCACACATGCCTGGGAGCTGAATTTGAAACCCTTAAATTTTACGTGAACAGGGAACAATCCTTTAAAATTTCAGCCTTCCAACTTTTCTGGCTACCGAGATAGCAATTTTCCGCCAAATCTTCCACGCATTCGTACTTGTGAACCACGAACACTTAGGATTTGAATTTGAAATCTCTAGCTCACGTATAAACAGAGAATATCCCTGGAAATCTTTGGTTCCTGAGATCGCTTTTTCGCCAAAAAATATGCAGATTTTTTGGTGGGAAAGCGATCTTCTGAACTAGACAAGGTACAGAATTGAATCTTTGAATGGATTGTGCGTGTATAAGCTAAAAAATTCAAATTCAGCCTCCAGATGCTCGTAGCTCTCACGTACGGGCACATGAAAGATTTGTCGAGAAAACTGCTAAATCGGTAACTAGAAAAACTGGAAAGCTGAAATTTTAAATGGATATTCCCCGTCAACGTACAATTTAAAGAATTTAGACTTAGTCTCCAAGGTACCCGCGTACGGCATTTGAAGGTTTTGGCGGGAAAACTGCTAACTCGGGAACCAGAAAAGCTAGGAGGCTGAAATTTTGAATGTTCCCTGCCCAAGTACAGCCTAAATATTTCAAATTCATTTTCCAGGTGTAGGTGGTCCTCACCTGCAGGCACTTAAAAGTCTTGATGGGAAAATTACTCACTGGATAGCCAGGTTACTTTCAAAGGACAACTGTCAAACAGAAACTATTTATTTCTTTTACGCAAAATCTATGATTTACGCTAGTCACTGCAAAAGGTAAGTGTAAAGCAACAAACATCCCTGTAGTTAAAGACCAGAGTGCTTCGCGTCTGGTGCAAAAACGCATGATCGCACAGGCAGGCCTAATTTTTTTTTGCCAGTTTCAGCGTTCATCTCATCCGGTCCCGATTTTGGCTCGTGATTTCTTTCTTTCTTGTACTTTTCCTTTCCTACAAATTTGTTCCCTCTCAAATGTGTTTCTTGCTTGTAAGCAACCCTGCCATCAGCTTGTTTGTGAGCAACCTTCAAAAAGAGGGTGCCATCCACAACTTTGCGAGCAGTTAGTTGCTATTGGCATTTGCTACCACTCGGGGGCTACTTCTCGAGTGCCTATGCCCCTAACTGAGAGCGAATATGGGATTTCTTCCTATCTTACTTTCTGACGTAATTTTTAATCCTATCAATCACTAAGGGTATTTCCAACGTCTTTTGGAACAAGTGCGCAACTACTAAAAGCTTGGCCCGGTTGCGCAATTACGCAAGCTCGGGTCGGCCGCGCAATAGCACTTATTTCTTGTCCAATCTGAGTAACGAATACCGCAGCACTGGGTTTTCGCTCCAGGTAGAACTTTAGGTTAGCTAACTTCCTCCATTATCAAGGTCCCTGTTGAACATAAAAAATCTACAGGACCCTATCTTCCCCCATAAACCTCGCTCCCGCTCCCAATCCCTACCTCCAGTCATTCCCAGAAGGCGAAATAAAGGTTTCAGCATAACGCGCCAACCGAACATAGACTGCCACGTTAAAAACGTAACAGTCCGTCCCACCTGTGTGCTTAATACTTGGACCGAAACCTTTTGCGACTTCCAGGAACTGCAAATATTTTTCTGGCTTTTCATTCTTGAACTGTCTTGAAGCGAAGGGGGCAAGTACTATAGCTCAAAAAGTAATCTTTTTATCAAATAAAAAATACACGTTGATGCGAAGCAATCTCTCACAAAGCGTATGGATTCAAAAGCAATCAATGAAAAAGCGGCAGCACGATGGGATTATTAGAGGCAGAGAAAGCCACCATCGCAACTGGCATTCCCGAGACTTCGAGAATGAAAAAAGCTTCGGGCTGTAGTGCTTTGCAATTCCTAACCAGGGCTGCATGACTGATTAGTAA